TTTGAGAGGATAAACAAAGTCGACCGCGATTTCTCGCATTGGCAAATTTTACCCTTTGTTTGCTCCCTAAATTACGACGTAACATTGCTTTTATCCCATCAATTCTAAAGCGCGTGCAAAGATAGCGGGTATCGTGAATAATGTCTATTCTTCACATCATGCTCAGGCTCATTCAATAATTGCTCATAGTTATATGGCTGAATCCGCCTGCGGGCAAGATGAAGTGAATAGTGCGTTCTGATTGGCTACTCAAGTGGGCAAGATGAGCCCTTCCTTCCCGCTCGGGATTTCCCGCGTTGGTCCCTCAAGAAAGTTATTTTAATGGCCATGTAATAAATCCTTTATTGACCAAGACAAATGGATATTGGCCTAATTCGTTTTTTTGCATTTTTATCGTCCTCGACTTTGTCACGGTCCATAAATACGCCCAAAAGAATTTGGCCGATGTATCCAGCCATCTTTACCTCACGATTGGTTTGTACGAACATAATTGACCACACAGACTTAGAGTGCACTCTAAGTGAGAGTGAAAAAAAAGAGAAATTGCTATAATAGCGAACACCTGGAAAAAGTGTTGCGAATGAAAGAATCTTCTTTACAAGCAATGCCTTTTGCTGGTAACAAACATTTCACACTGTTTACTATCTTCATCAGGCTAGTGTCTAGGTATTATCTCTTCTTCGTCTCTGCTCGAAGTCTGGGAAAGGGTGGATGACGTCACAGCTCACGAAGGAGTCCAAGATTGACAAAACCGAGAACGCCTATAGGAACTAGGCGTAGGTATATTTTACTTTAGCAGCCTTGGGTAGTAGAAAAGCAAAGCAAGCAACAAGGTGAACATGAAGTTCGTCCTCCCTGACGGTTACTACAGGGCGGTGAGAGAAGAAAAGAATGTAAACAAATTATAATGATTTCAAATAATCCGCCATGGAAGCTTTGGCCCACGAGACAAACTCTTCATATTCCAGTTTACCGTCCCTGTTTCTGTCAAACATGGCGATTAGTTCCTCAGCCTCCTCTTTTGTTAAAATCTCTCCAAAAGTCGTTACCACATAACGTAATTCGTCCACAGAGATGTAGCCGTTACCATCACGATCAAAAACCCTAGAGAAAATAGAAGCAATAAGTCCTTATCATGTCTTGTTCACTATTTTAGAAAAGCTTGGTGATGATGATAATGATGATGATGATGATGATGATGATTGTGATGATGATGATGAAGACAGTTTATTGTAATCTTTGTAGCAGCCTCAGAGATGAATTACAAGGATGAGTCACATTTATCACGAATAAACGGTCTACATGCCAAAAGCAAGTAGCGTTACATCGATAAATATCAGGTAATATCAGCCAGGTACATAAATATTAAAGAGTATAAATAGTGGTTCCGGTATTTGATTTTCTGTGATGATGATGTTGATGAAGATAACGATGATGATGATGATGATTATAATATTTATGTAATCTTTTTAGCAGTATGTGGGCGCAGAATTACAAGGATGGATCAGATGTTTACATGAATAATACGCAGGGTAATGGCAAACGCAAGTAATACAAGTTGACAAGACGGTATAAGCGGTCACCCTCCATTAGTAATCGACCAGTTATTAAAGTCCAAAAATAACTTTAGAATAGTACTTCTTTTTTTACTCTGAAGATATCACAATTACTCACGCAAAATACCATAAACTGCTGCTTATAAAGCCCCCCCTCCCCCAGTTATTGGCCCATCTACCTGTAAACAAAATAATACATTCAATCCTTAGAACCCGGATATCAGCCTTCCCCCGGATATAAGCCCCCCGAAAATAGTCTTCCCCCGGATATAAGCTTCCCTTTAGCTAGGCTTGCGTTAAAATGAATTTAATTGTTTTTGAGGTTTTGACACCTAATTTTAAAAAATCCGGCAAATGCAAAACGTATTTTGATCAGCACAGCCTTAGCTTGTTTCGTTTGAAGTGCTTTTCTAGTCCGGTTATAATTAAGCCCCCTCAGATATGGGCCCCTCCTATTATTAGCCCTCCTCAAGCCATAATAGAACAGAGAGTGTGAGAAAATTATTGCGTCATTGTGGCGGGAAAACGTCACGTGATCTGAGAACTGAAGTTTGCACAAGAGTCTAGGAACTGTGTAGTTGTTGGGAGTCGTGGAGCTGATCCAGTGTATAGATTGAGTGTAGAATATCGAAATTTTTACGAGAATTGATGTCGCTGAATTCCTTAATTAAGTGTAGAACAGAGTACAGAATTCTAAAAATATGAACATGTGAAGAAATATAATTTCGAGGGAGTAAAGAATTAAAGCTACGTAGAACTGGTTATATCACACATAATTTGTGACAGAGAGGGAGTCTCCCAGTCACGCCTTTTGGATATCTTAATTTCAAAAACGTTATTTTTAGAACTATGCCGACCATGCGGAAACAGTTTCCGGTAAACTGGTTGACTTCCGGAAGACTCGCTTTCACGATTCAGCGCATATGATCGCATATTGCCCTCCTAAAACCCTTACGGTCTTTTAAACGGGTTAGTAGTTTATGTATGACCCCATGAAATGACAGTTTACGGTAGCTGGAGCGCTTGTATGTCCCCCTTTAAAGGGAAGCTAAGTTACCTAATTTAAATCGAAAATTACTGTAATGTCTCGCCCGCTTTTACAAACAAATAAAAGCTTCTCCTTGGTTAAATTTAGTTGGCTTGTACGTCGTGACCATCTAACTAATTGTTTGAACAAAAAGGTTACTTCTTTTTTCCAGCCAAATCATCCATCCATTGCTCTTTTTCTTTCTAAGCTGACGACAGCCAGTTGAGTAGCCAATTTCAGTTCACTCGCTTTCTATGTTGTCGATCATGTACAACTTGTTATGTTGTTGGTAACTAACCCTTCGATACGTACAAGACGGGAGGGTCTTAATGAGGTTGTAGCTTTGACGGTTGACCTTTTATTAAGTGGAAATTTAGTCCAAGGGTTAGAGTAAATCTGGTAAATATCAATTTCTGTATAAATTAATATTGACTGTTGTGTTTTGGAGGTTCAACTGGTTGTCTTGGCCCTTCCCTAACAGAATTCCGAAATATTTTCAGACAAAAGCAAGTTCTAGGGCCCTGTAATGTCTAGAGCGAGTGTTGCTGACTGTTAATTCCATGGGGTCCCTTTTAAAATAATAGCGTATCATATTATGTAAGGAACTATTCAGCGTATCATCGCACCAAAGTTTTAATGCTTTATTTTGTACCCACGTATTGTCTTTGAAATCAATAATAATGGAATAGAATACTCTGTAAATTACACCTCTATAAACCGGTTGCTCTATCTGACGGCTGCGGTCTCCCTTTTGAAAATGCAACTGATAATGGATTTTGGACGTTTAATCTAACGTTTCAGTTTATATACATCCATTGACGCTTTTTGGCGCCACAGTTAATGATTTTGCACGTGCGTGTTAAGTTGGGAGAACTTTATCAACACAACAATGCAATTTGACAGGAGAATTTGCTTTTTTGAAACCGTTACTATACTTTTGCTCAGTAAAATAGGAGCTGTCTCTTCTGTTAAAGTTGTCTAAAGCCCTTAAAGGTGTTTGCTTCAGAATAAAGGGCCGTAATAATTTTGCTACATATTATGCTAATTCTGATGAACCTCTATTGAGCGGCAACCTCCATTAAGCCGCGCCACATGCTGTTACCCCTGGCAAACTTACAGTAGGTTAATCAGTGGTCTGAAAACTACAGCCAAAATCTGTTTAAACGTCGGTGAACCCTATTCCCGCACACTGATTTTGTTACCTTGGTGGCCTATACTTCATAGGAACTGATTTTTGAAAATTTAAGGTGGCTCTGAACCAGCTGCCTCGTTTTTACATTTGACAAAATAATTATATATTATTCCATGGTTATTAGAACTCGACAATGAAAAATGGTGGTCACTGAACTCGTTAAGAGTTAACAGAGATATAACTTGTAATAGTTGACACTACAGCTGCCCTCGCTCTGTACGTTGTCGATCATTAGTATTCTTGGCCGTTGTGTAGCAGTCTTTGAAATATAGCGATTCTTATTTCTTATTGAAGATTTTCACAAATATTCCATACAGTAGGTGAGATAAAAACGTGAAACGCAAGGTTTCATGCACTGATTCAGGTCAATTTACACAGCTTTGATCGATACATTCTCAGGTTCGAGAATATTTTCTTCTAAACCTAAAGATTTGATTCGAAGTGGTAATTTTTCGCTATTTCTCTCTTTCACTTTTTACATACAGTTAATTTTATTAACCGGAAAGTAAGCCTTAGAAATAAAAAGGTTTGATCAATTTACGCTTGCGCGTTCATTAATACTTAAAAAAGGATGCCATAACGATAGCAGCAACTAAACAAAGTGTAGTATTGATCTATCACCAAGTAGAAATCGTCGAAAACACAGAAAGCCGTTGTTATCACCTTAGAGAGTGGTTGAGACCGGCGTGATGGGAATCGTGAAAAGGGACTTCCGATGCCTCCCTGTGTGACACCACTCGGTACCGAAAACATACATCTATCCGATTTAAGGTGGCTAAACACAGTTTTGCGGGCGGTGAGCGGTAACTCGCTTACTGGCTGGTGTTTTAAATTAGACAAACAAAAATGATCGCGAAAAAAGCAATGGTACAAAGCAGACAATTTCTCAAAATCTACTTATTAAAATTTTGTGATATTTGGTAGAATTATTACTTTTATCGTACTTTAAATAATGAGAACTTTAAAATGGAAGTTGAACAGACGAATTTTGAGACACATTTATTAATTACAGTACAATTATATGATTGATTATCTAAAACCCGTCTGTTAAAATTTGGTCAAATAAGTTTCAAATGGGAATGATTTATTATAGTAAGCTGTGTGCAAGGTTATAGGAATATCTAATGAGCACATTTTATGTAAACGGAGCAAAAGTGAAATTTTGAGGTTGTTTTCAATCGTTGCCATGGAGCCTTCGAAAACGTCAAATTTTACCTGTCAATCAAAATCTTTCATCAGTATATTTTTCACTTGACAAGTTTCAGCTTGTGAGCTGCAACCTTTCTCTTGCCATGATTTGCCAAATGATATATCCTCACAAAGTGCCAAAACTGTGTTCAGCCACCTTAAGGAGTATTAGTGTTGCCTCCAAAACTAGTAACAGCTTCCCCTAGGTTTTTGTACGAGAGAACGAGAAGACACGCCCTAGTGGCCTTGGAGATTGCATACATTTTTATCTGAAAACAATCGCCCCCAAATTTTGTAGGAATGTCAAAGTTTTTTAACTGCCTTGCTCGAAGTTAGTTTTTTATCCTCTTTTTAATGTTAAATGATTTTTGCATCAACGTGTTGTATTGTTTCAGTGAAGGTGTTTATTCATTGGTAACCGCAAAATTGTTTCCCAATATAATATCTATTAATTTACAACTTCTGTTATATTTAAGGCATGGCGCATAAATTTTACTATGCTGTTACTGACATGAAAACTCGGTGTGGCAAAATTTATGTGAGTCTTCTTTTTATGAAATATTAAGTAATATTCTTACTGATGTAAAAGAACAAATCCCCGGTTGACGTGTTGAAAAACTTCAAAAACAGCTGCGAAAACATTCGGCTGTGCTTCGCGTTTCAATGAAGAAACTCGCGTTTGTGAGAAGTTTAGTATTTCTTTTTAAAGAGCGTTTAACACATTTCTACCGGGTGGCGGATATTGAAAGTAAAGTTGGTTTTATTCATAATTATTCTTACTTATTTTGATGGTTTTGCCGGTAGGCGAAATACGCGATAAAATAGGGCAGGATGTAAGAAAGCGTGATATCAAATAATATGGCGTGTTAAGAAATAAACACCTGCAGGTGCGAGCCGGGTCGGCAATGAAAAAAAAAAATTAAAATCTAACTCGAATCGGACGATCTGTTATAGCAAAAACATGAAGTATTGAGATATTGAAGTTTGTAGTAATATGTTTGTAGAGAAACAGACCATGTGAAATTAGACAAAGCAGGTGAAACGATTGAGGTGAGCTGCTGCCAAATTTATAAGAAGAATTAATCAAGCGAGTGCTCTCCATATTTTCTGAATTTTAGGCAAAGTATTTCAATTGACCACGACATTTGATAATCGAGGAACAAGGAGAAAAAATAGATAAAATTAATAATGTATTGTACTCAAGTATAGTTTTTGTCATCGTTTTACTGAATTTTTCAATAGCTCAGTGTTCCTTCCCACTAAACCGTCGCGTCTATAAAATTGGACACTCTTATACGCTACCCATCAAATTACTCATTAACATACAAATGTCCACATAGATTCAGTATTTAAAACGCCAACCTTAAAATTGCTTTTAACACGTATTGCTTTCAGTGACAGATTTCTTTTCATATTACGAACACAGCCAGTCTGCCTCCTCCAAATTACTTGGGCGTCCTTCTTATCAATAACGTATGAATAAATTTGAAATCAAGGCAACATAACCAAAAATACAGTTTGGTCGAAAGCAGATTTTTACCCTAAGCCGGCGTTAGTTTGAAATCCAAAAAGAAGCTTAATAAAGTTTAACTTCGAAATTCCATCTCGCTGAAATTGCTTAACTTTCAGTTGCCTAAGAATATTCTATTGTCTTCTTATACGTGATGTATTCAAACCTCGGTTGTTACAAAGTCAATATGGCATTAAGCAAAATTGACGCATTTCCACCCCCGGCACTCAGAATAAATAAAATAAAAAAGCTTTCCAAAATCTGAGCCACAATGTCTACTTAGATGAAAAAATATTCATCACAGCTAGTAGTCTTATTACTTTTCTTACGAGGGAGTAAAAATAAATTTTAGGTCAACTAACTTGGACTTCGCTTTATAATCAAGTAAAATAAGAATATTTTTCGTTCTTTATGGAGTTGACTCTGTAAGGGCAAACTTACCTAAAGGCCTGCCGTAATGTCTGTTCCATGTCATCTCTGCCACATCCTTCAAAATGCTTGGCCATGGAGATGAACTCTTGAAAATCGATTACCCCATCGCCATTTTTGTCAAATTTTTTAAGGGTTTCCTCAATTTCCCGATTACTGGGATTAAAACCGATGGCGCGAATTAAGCTGCCGAACTCGTCTTGGTCGATCTCGTTGTTGTTATTTTTGTCAAAAATATCAAACGCTGTTCGCATGATTCGAAACTCCTCGCTGGTCAGTTGTGATATTTCCACGGTCATCGCGACGCGGCCAGTAGGGACGAGATCATAGAATTATTAAAACGCGAGAAAATAGCGACGTATTACTACTTTTGGCAAGTTGAGTCCTCGCCCGCTGCCTTCAATGTGCTAATTGTGTAGCAAATAGGACGTCTATCCTTGTTCTATCCTTCCCGGATTACGTAACGTAGTTGAAAACTTCACATGCGCTGGACCCAGAGCTTACGACGCGATTTCTGTTTCAATTTGTCAGCAGGTATCTCTTGTGTCCGGATTTTAAACCCACGGAAAACCCTGAGGCGCTTGGTCTTGTAACGAAAATTCAAAGGGCTTTTACTATGCTTCCTTAATTAGTTGTGTGTTTCCATAGCAACTGCCTAAATTGCTTTTTCCCTAAGAGGATCTTCCCTTGTTTTGCACGGGAGACGTTTCACTCGCGCAAGCGACGCGACACTGTTACATTTGAAAGAAACAGATGCGTAATAAATGCGTAATCAAAGAAGCGATTGTTCTGTTGATAAAAGTGATGCACGTACAAGCTTATCGATTCAGCTTATCATGCAGGCCTGCCTAACCTTCACGGTAATGTTATCTTTGCTTGAAGGGATATTCGACATATCTTTTGAGATCATTACAAACACAGGAAGAGGAAGAAAAAATGGTACAAAAGAGCGGGATAGAGAGGCCATGCCTTAAAGTTCTTGAAAACAGCTTATTTGAGAGTCTAAGTGACGCAGCTAAGATGAAAAACAACAGGAAGCCGAAGTGTAATTTACTTATTTCGGCAATGAAACCAAACGTCGTTTTCACCGATTCGCCAGGTTTTGTAATTGCCTGTCAAAAAACGTTTGCTTGAGCCAGACGTATGATCAATATCGATAAAACCAGGGGAGCAGAAACAAAATATGATTCCGGTTCGAAAAAGAGCAACTTTGATTCCGACTCAGACTCAGAAGTTTGTAGCAAAGCAAGTTATTAAAATAGACAGAAAGGATTGTGACCCCTTGCTAGAATATTATGTATACATGCGTTATCAGCTGTAGAATAGAATTTTCTAAGGAGTCAGAACCTTGTCTAGTTCATTTCAAATGCCAGTCATAAAAACAAAAAGAAAAAAAAACAATAAGAAAGTCATCCTAACGTTGGTGGTAATATGACGCTCAAGTTATTCTGCTAATCCAGTTCTTTGTCTTGCTGACAACTATATATATCGGGTCTGTTATCGTGGTTTCTATTCGATTACCGAGCGTGGTCTATTAATTTGACTTAGTTTGACTTGACGCCACGCAGTTTAAACCTTACTCAGCCCGTTAAAAAGGCTATTCATTAAGTTGATTTGAATATAAAAGTACCGCTTGAAAATGTAAAAGGAACATTTTCTTTTTGTTACTGAGTAACAAGGCAAATAAGGATGGAAAAAATAATATCTGGATATGAATAAGAATAAAAAGGATTTCAACTGTGGTTTCTTGAAGCTTTTTAACTTTCGTATCAAACGGTTTAGCTCTGTCGAATACAGATTTGAAGTGTAATCCCCGGAACATAAGCATATTTGTTTTTCATAGAGTTTTGATTTTTTTCATTTAGAATAATTTCTTCATATGTTAATGTAAACCGCGAATTAGTCATTAGTCGCATGTACTCTTGAAAAACAGGAAACATGGCGGAATACGTCCAGTGAATACAACAACAACAAGAACATTAAATATATAGATTTAGCCAAGACCAAAAGTGAAGCTCTCGTGGGATCTTTTGAGCAAGGTCTTTCTGAAGTAATTCAATTTTCGCCGTAAGCAACAAGCAAATTGAATTCTGAGCATGTGATCAATTGAAAACCAACAACTGGTCAGCAGAGAACTTAAGAAAACGTCAGCTCAATGAGTTGATCATCTGAACCCGCGATACAATCATGTGAACTGGTCAGCAAGTGCCCCATTTTGATAGCTGCCAATTAACCATAACATGGATGTCCAATATCAAGTTAAACACAGTAAGTAAGTGTGACGTTTCACATCCGCTAATAGGGACTTAAAGATCCAACGACGCGAAGGCAACGAGAACGTCCCTTAAAGAAAGAATTTGCGTTCTTTCAGTCTTTAGCGCAATTATTCCTACCCAGTTACTTTGTCAAATGTAGGCGAACCCTCCTGGAATTGAATTCCTAGGGATCATATGCAAGTTCAAAAAGAAAAAAAAAAAATTCGTCGTTGCTTGTTTATGTTGCAGTCGTGCAAAAACGGGCAAAGAAATGTGCAAAAAAGCGTGATGCACGTGTAAAGTTTTATTTTGTTTATAAAACCTATTGTTTTTTTTTACGTTCTCTTTGCCGTCCGTGTCGTTGGATCTTAAAGTCCCTAATATGAACGGGCAGACTAGAATGACGTGCTGACGGACGATTTTGTTGGAACCAAAATTTCTTGGATGCATGGATAACAAAATTTTATTACCCATTGTGCTCCGCGCTACATGCTTTTATCTTTGCCAAAATAGACAGGATCGCGTGTGCTGTCATGGGTTCTGAATTCCACGATATGGGTTCCGAATTCCGGATACCGGATTCTAGATTTCTTGTTTTCGGATTCCAATCGTTAGCCAGATTCCGGATTCCTAAAAGCTAACAAGGGGAAAAAAACGTCATGACGGTACAATTGGAAAAACTTTCGCAACTAGTTTTTGAGTGGGGCGATGGACGAATGCTTTTATTTATATGAGAGGGTGAATGATTTAACATTCAGGATTGATGTTGTTATGATCTTCAGACGAGCATGCATCACCTTATTGTCAGGCCAAACTGAGACCCAAGGTGCTAAGAAGCCGGGATCCTCGTAGAAATCTCCGAAGACAGAGGGATTCTTATATTCTTGCAGCTATAAGCTGCCACTGTAAACGCAAAAATATTTGTAGTGGAGCTGATCACTGACCTGTCGTGACAATGAAGAAAAGAATGGCTAGGTTCAAACTATACCGGATTCTTGGTTTGCAACCACGTGAAAAGGCGGACATGTTGGGGGTCAATACAATAATACTTTTTCTCGGAGAATTTACATGAAGATGGAGTTTAGTTTCCAGGGGAGAGAAATGCTTTTGTTCTTGACCATCAACATGGCCGCCGTAACGTGGAAACGTCTCTGAAAAAAAGACTTTGCGTCCTTTAAAACTTTTTCACTCTTACACCAAGTCACCCAGTTACTTGAGGGTAGGGAAAAGAATAATAATAATAGTAATAGTAATAGTAATAGTAATAGTAATAGTAATAATAATAATAATAATAATAATAATAATAATAATAATAATAATAATAATAATAATAACAATAAATTCGTATGTTATACTCCTGGAATAAGGTAGACATCAAATTTGGTAGGAGCCAGAAGTAGGATCTGGTATAGGAAATATTTAGCGGAAATAAATATTTTAAATCTCATATGGGCTATCTGCTTTGCTAATTTAAATCTTTGACTTTTATTTATTCGGTTTATTTTTTTTTCCCACTTCAGTAGAGGCTCTTTCCGCTATGTTTCAGACAAAAGGCTGGTAAGTATTCATGCAAAGGCAACTGGCACCACTTCTTAAAATCTTCAGAGATCGTTAAGTAGTGTGGATTCGTCAATGTGACCCAATCGCTGTTTTCCAGTTACAAAAAACATAATTACAGTCGACTCCCGACAACTCGAAGCTTCTAGTGAAATCGAAAAAAATTCGAGTTATCGGGAGTTCGGGGCAAATAACCGGAAATAAGGAAATAAACAAATGGTTGGGGGAGGGAACATAAAAAAGTATCATGCACACCTTAGGCGCTTTCCATTCTACCTAAAATTCGGACTCAGTACATTTTTATCCGTCAACTAGCTACGTATGGTTCGAGTTATCGAGGGTAAAATTATATAGAAATGATCTGAAGGGAAACAAAAATTACTTCGAGTTAGCGAGCGGTTCGAGTTATCGAGGGTACAGTTACAGTAAATGTATAAAGGAAATTCAGGTGAAATCGATTTTGGTTTGAGTTATTGCGAGGTTCGATTTAACGAGAGTCGATTGTATTGATTCATTGATGATATTTTAGTTTTCTTGGTTATATATTTTTTTTTGGCCTAACTTTTGTTTTTAAGGGTGTTCTGGGGGGTTCCTGCCTGTTAGGGGGGTGTTCCGGGGTATTGCGGGTAGTCCTGATGGTGTTCCGGTTTTACAGATTTCCATGAATGCGAGCGTTGATTTGCATTGAGAGCCTGAGACCGGGCTCCTTTGTTGGGGGGGGGGGGAGTTGTTGTGTTGTGGTGTTGTGGTGGGTGGTAGTTTGGCTGCTGGTAGAGGGTGCTGAGTGGGCGGAGGGACGTTGACTGGTGTGCGGTTGAGATGTTATGCTGGGGGGGTGTCTTGGGTTCTGTCAGTTGGTGGTTCGACAGCGGCGCGGCAGCTAGGCCGGGCGTCAGGGTTAATAACAAGGCAAGCGCGAAATCGGCGAACCAGCGCGCAACGATTTTCTCGCGCAGTTCACCCTATTTTTTGGTTTTCTTTTCTTTCATTTTTTAATTTAGGGAATTTTAATGTTATTTCAAAAATGAAATTAGTGATGATTTTTTTGGTTATCCGGATGTTTCAATCCTCATTTTTCCATCCGTATCCGCCATCCGCAGGTATCCGGTCTTCGTTTTACAGACACCCAGATCGGCACGGCGCAGTTTCGCTTCGTTACAGGAATCGCACCGAAATCACCGTTCTTATGTGCGAACGGTAGCCCTGTCAGGGAAGGTTTTTGTGCCGGCGCAAGAGCTATGGAGCCTTGGAGGTTCCTTTATCTAAACTTTGATAAAATCACGAGCCAAATGGTTTCATCAACAAGTTCAGTGGAACCTCGATATAACGAAGGCACAAGGGGCTTGCAAAATCTGTTCACTATAACGAGGTTTCGTTACACAGAGGTTTACTTCCATATACTTTATTACTGGCGTAAAGAAAATCGTTCGTTACACCGAGGACTTCGTTATATAGGGGTTCGTTATATCGAGGTCCTACTATTCAAAGTTTAATTTAGTCTCAATTAAAAGGGGGGATGCTTCTGTTCAACGACCAACGCCACAGAAACGGCAAACCTCAACTTACAGAGTGAGCAAACGGGATAAATGATCACTCTTAAGTCGGAATATTCTTACAACGAAATGTTTTGGCTTAAATTGTAAACATTCAGCTCCAGTTACCTAAATCTGAATGGCGACGAAATGAAACTTTGTTTGCTTATGCTAATCTCTTCCCAATTAGTACTTATTATACGTGACGAGTTAAAATGGTAAATGCAAAAAGCTATTTTTAATCGTGACAAAGCTGTTATTCACTAGAATCTCACTCGTCTTTGGATTATCGTAGATGTCAGTCTGTTTTATTTTCAGTGTTCTTATGCAAATCAAGAGTATATAATTA